TTAGCTGGTTAATGATGAGATTAATTTGTCATTCAATTGTTTGAAACAATTGAGCTTTACTAATGAAATCAAGTGAATGTAATAAAAGTTTAAAATATTTTTTACTTTTCTCACTCAATTTGACTGACTTTGTTTCTAGTTTCATCGAGTAAATGTGATTTAAATATGATGACAAAAATACATTGCAATTAACATTGGAATTGGTGAGAAGTTGAAAAGAGCAGAAAAAATCGATTGATTGTAATGAAGAGTTTCAATGAAATCGGGAAATTAAGGTAATGCCAGTTTTTACATGGTTAATAATGATAATGATAATCATGATGAATAAAAATAATGGTGAATAAAATGAAACAGTAAATAGATAATGGTCGTTATATGTATAAATGTGATGATAACAGAGTAAACTTTATTTTCTTTTATCATTTTCTTTCCTTTCTTTGCTGACTTGAAGGGAAAATGACAGAGAATCACGAGAAGGAGAAGAAGAAAATAAAAGTTCTTTGAGAGGATGACAAATGATGAAGAGAATTATATTTCAATGTTTTTTTCTCTTTTCTTTTTTTCGCTATTTCTCTTGTTCTCCATCAAAATAATGTGCAACTTTTCACCTTATTGAAGGGTTATTGATATAAAATAATTTGTTAACCCAACGAAAAATGATTGAAAATCTTTTCATTGGACAAGTTTTTTCTGTTCGATTCTTGATGGATCATCTGGTCAGACATAAAGCATTGAATTAATGTTCAATTGTCTAACAATTTTAAATCTTTAATTGATTGAGTTTGGAAATTTGCACTCGATTCTTTGTATTTTTTTGACGCTAATAGTGAAAATCATTATTATTTGCAAAAATATGTTCAAATTTTTCGCATTATGCAAAGCGACAACTTTTCGGAGTCGATTTCATTATGGAAATGTTTACTTCTGTTGCTTGATAAGTAATAAACTCGAGGTGTTTCATGATGATATCAATTAAAATGATGTAAATTGAAACATCGAAGTCTAATTTGCAATCGGAACTTTGCAAAAACAATTACAACAGAAAATTTGCTAGCTGACAGGATTGAGACTTGGAACATTAAATTTCAACAAAAACATGAATTTTCTTCGAGATCTTTTGGGATCTTAAAAAAGATTCATGGTCCTTTGAAATGTAATGAATTCGTTTAAGTGCAAAACTTTCGAATTTTTACTCGAAAAACTCGTTTTATCTATCGTTAAAATTACTGTAACGGCCTTTATCAACGTGAAATGAGCTTAGATACTGATGATTATATTATTTTTATCAGCATTGTTATAACTCTAAAAATGAAACAAAAAACTCTGAAGGTTATGTTCATAACATTTATCAATCTGTTATCAGTCTCTTGTCAGAGTAAAGCAGTTTGCAAAAGCATGAAATGACGAATGACAAAATGGATCAGTTTTTGATTCAGTCTGGTTAGTTGAACTTGAATCAAAATTGAAACAAAAAATATCTTTTCAAGGAAACAGCAACATTGACTTTTCATATTTTCATCCAATTCGTTGTCACAATAACACAAAATAAAGATCTTAAACCTTTAAACCTAAAAATAGCATCAAATGAAAAAAATGTTTAATTTACATTGCATTAAAGTTGTCATTGGAGAGACTAATTACATGAGCGATAAATGAACAATCGATAAAAAGTCATCAACATGGAAAGCATGGTGTATGAGAAAAGTCTATTTTTTCAACTGCAAGTTGATTAAAAGTTTGATATGTAAATGAAGAGGTCAAGAAATGTGGCCAATGAGAAATAACATTATTATTGAATGTTGACATGGAGATGAAATTTTCCTAACCAAGAAGAAGAAGAAGAAGAAGAAATAAAATGTAAATTGTGAGTTGCATTGAGGTGTATTTAAATGCTTTCTGTAAATGCTTTATCATGGCTTCTGGCTGAATAAAAAAGAAGAGTAAAAGCAAGTTTCCTCTCATCCATTTGACCTGAAAATAAATCAACTTTACTGGAAAACAGCTACAACAAGATATAAAATAACAGAAGTAACCCGATTCTGGGAGAGAGAGATGAAAAAAGCTATGCGTGAGTTGAAAGAGAAGAGATGAAGAGAAGGATGATGAAGGATGAAAAGACAAGTCAAAAACAGGGAAAACAGATATTATGGCTTAGAGGAGAGAGGAGGCTGAAGATGGAGAAATGATGAGATGTGTGTTCGCCATGAAAGAGAGGAAAATGATGAAAACGGAAATGCACATCTAAACTTCATCAACATTATCATTATTCAATTTTTATTGGTTGAACATTTGTTTATTTTAATAACTTTTTTGTTTCTTGCTTTCAACTTAACCATTTCAGATTATTATTGTTTATTATTGCTCTTCACCTGTAATTGTTAAAGTAACGACAATTTGTTCAATTGTTGTTGATTGATAACGTTTGGATGAACAATCAGCTTTTCAGGTTTTCACTGTTCATCATTATCATGAGATTAACTAATCAAATACACTTTGAACATAATGATGAAAAGAATGAGAAAAGCAAGAGAAAAATTGAAACACTTAAAGAGATTGCAAATGGAATCATAATCAACTAGAGATTCAATGAACATCTCGGTTTTCAATGAAACTCATGAAGAAGCCTTGAGCACAATCAGAGATCTGATTTTCCTTGTTTATATAAATATTATGTTATTCATAGCTAATCATGAAACTGAATTAGTGAATCTAATCTTGCAAAGCTTTAGGCTAAACAGATTGAAGCTGATTAACACTGATAAAAGGTGGAAATGGCGAAACGCACCTGAAGACGGCGTCATAAAGTGCATGTTAACGCATTTACGTTATTAAGTTATAAGTTTTCAAGAAAAGCGAAAATCAAGTTCAAAAAGCAATTCAATTAGATGAAGTTTATCATTTGGTTTATTATCATTATTATTGCTATCATCATTACTATCATCATCATTATCATTATTATTACCAATAATATTGTTGCTCTTTAACTGTGAGAGGAAAAGAGTTGCAAGGTAAAAAGAAAAGGTAAACGGAAAAAGGTTCCTGTAAACAGTTTTACCTTTTTTTCAACTTTCTCTTCCTAAAGTTGTTAAAATTGAAAACAAATTAAGTTTCACGAAAAGGTAAATTGCAATGAATTATCAATCAATCAATTGATAAAGTGAACTGTTGAGCTGCAAGAAAATGACACTTTTTTTCGTCACTTTTCGTTTGTTGACCTTTCTTTTTTATTTTGTTTCATGATGATAATTGGGTGAATTAATTGTTACACATTTGATTGTCAAATTGTGTATCAAAGGAAAAAAAAGTTGAATAAAAGGAAAATTCAGCGATTCTTTTTTCTTCATCTTTTTTTTTGTAACGTTAGTGGAAAGCAAAATGATGGTGTGGTGGTAGTGGGTGAGATTATTGTTGATAAAAGCTACTGAAATGGAAAGTCGTTAGAGATGATTTTGGATGATGAGAGGAAGAAAGGGAGCGATGAACGCAAAGAGACAACATATGATGAAAAAAAAGGAAAAGCATGAAAGCATGAAGAAGATTTGAGGAGAGCACATCAAGGTTTATCACTGTTATTATTGCTATTATTTTTATTATTATTATAATCATTATTTAGCTCATGTTGTTACTGTGTTTTTTGTGTTCTGTAACATTCAGCTTTAGAGCAATTGAAAATGTTCACATTTTGGATTCAATTCAATAAGAAGTTGTTGTACGTTGAGAGAGAGAGAGTTGCAATGAAAAGACTTGAACTATATATTCGTGAAAGAAAATGAATGAATTGCAAGTGGAAAAGGTAAGATGATTATCATGATGATGATATTGGTAATGAAAAGTGGGATTGGGAAAAGAGGTCAACAAGTTTGACTCAAGAGTTGGATGAATGCAAATGAAAAGATAATTTGGTTTAATGTAAACTTGAAAGGAAGCCAAGGTAGACACTTAATGTAACCGATTAGCTTCACTCTTCTGGGTTGAGTCTTGGTCTATGCAATGGGTCGGGCCGTGAGTTGGATTTGTCCTTAAAATTGAAGCATCTTTCAAATTGAAAGATTTAATGTTTAATTATTAATTAGCAATTCATTTGATCAGCTTTGATTACATTGAACATTACTGAAAAGTCAAAACCTTTTGTACCAAATGTAAATCTGTGTTTAAATCCACGATTTTGTGTCTTCACTCTTTGTGTTTGAAAGCAATCATTTTTGCAGAGAGAAGAAAAAAGAATGATGAAGAGAATGAAAGGAAAAAATGATGAATCCTGAAGATGATGGTGAAAGAAGATGAAAATAAGCAGAAAGTAACTTTCTCTGTCTATTATTTTCTTCCTTTTTTCCCTTTTCACTTCTTTCTCTCTTTTTCTTCCCTTTTCATCTCTTCTTCCTGTAAGTGTGTTACCCCTTAAATTAAATGCTCGTTACTCTTTCTCTTCATCTTCTTCTTTCTCTTTTTTCTTTCTCTTTTCTCTGTCGCTTTTTTGGTTTCTTTTCGTCTTCATCACTCACTTTTTTCTCTCTCTCTTTTCTTCCCTGGTTTAAATGGTATTTTTACAAGAGATTTATTGAAGCCCGCCTAAGGGGCAGACCAAGTATGGAGCCTCCTTTTTTTCCCAGCATATCAGCATTGCGAATTGATGGGGAAAGAAGATGAGGATGATTTAGAGGGAGAGAGAAGGGGAGTCTGTTAAGAGAGTGAAAAGAGATAAATAGAAGAGACCATTTTTCTTCAACATCTTCTTCGTTTTGCACTTCTCTTCTTTCACTTCTCCAGCTCAAGTTGAGAGCTGATTTATGCTGATAAGTGATACAAACAGGTTAACTGCAAAAATCTTGACGTTGAGTTTACTTGAGATGTGCTAAAACCCAGACCATTTTGGCTTTCATTTTTTTTCTTGATTCGCTTATTTTTCGTTTTTTACTTCAAACGAAAATGTTCAATTCTGTAAGGAATAGAAAGTAATGAATAATTTGAGCCTGAAATAAATAATATTCTTTGATATCAGCTATTTTTGTCAATTTCACTTTTACTGTTAAAAGATTGGCATTTTGTAAATATATTTATAATATAATACACACACAGAAATATATATATATGTATAAGTTATAATACAGAATATGGTCTCTTTGTGTTTTCTTCACAAAACCAGTGATGACTTGAAAAAAAATAAGTTTGGACAGAGGAGGATTGATGAGGATACAGATGATGGGGTGGCGCAAAGTTGAAAGAGAGGTCATTTTCTTTCTGCTTTTTTCTCTTCATAATCACAGATTTTGAAAAACTTGAAATGGGTCGCTCGAGAGACGCGAGCAGCTCACAAAAAAGGAGTTTTTTTTATGGTAAAGCATGAAGGTTGACATGGATGATTACTCTAATGATTAGTGGTCATGATAGGGAAGCAGAAGAGCTAGAGTTGATGATGATCATGACGTTGAGCAAAGATAGAAAAAAAGGAAAGACGAGAAGAACAAAAAACGATGGAAAAAGAGTTAAAATGAGTTTCTTTTCAAGATGAGAAGCTAATGTAAAGAAAAAGGTAAAAATATATTTAACAATACAATAAATAAATATATAAATATATGTATAAATTTATAGCTATATACAGAAAAAATTAAAGTATCTTTTTACTAACTGGCTGAATGTACTTTATATTATTTATACTAATGTAAATTTACTTTATATACATAATTATATACATCTATTTGTTGTTTGTCTCTTTTTTCTGTCTCTCTTCTTGTTTCTTTCTTGTCTTCCTTATCTTCCTTGCTCTTTTCTTTTTTACTCTCCTTCTCTCATCTGTGAAGTATGGATGAAAGCATCAGAAACAAAAAGATGTCGGAGGGTGAGAGCATAGAACAGGATAAAAATGAGAAAATAAAAAGAAATTCATGGTACCCTGAGGGTTTCAATACCAAGTATTTCACGAATAGAGTCATCCAGGGAAACGAGCTCGCTTAACTGTGTTGTATCCTCGACAGAGGGGTGATGAGACTTGCATGAGGTAAGAGCATTTGATATCAAATTGGCTGTTGACAGGCACAAAATTTCAATATTCACGTATTTGTTGAAAAATTGATCCTTTGAGAGGCCCATTTGTTTGAGAATATCACACAGTTTCAAGTAATTTTGGGTATACAAGTTGTTGTTTTTACTATTGTTGTTGTTGGTGGTTCCATTTGTAACATTAAAATTACTTTTACTGTTGTTGGTGGTGTTGATTGATGATGAAGATTTCTTGGTTGATTTTGGTGGACAAGCTGATCTAACAATAGATACTGCTGATCCTGATTTTATCCGATAGGTTGGAAGATGAGGTGTATCGCTTATTTCCAACAATAAATCATTGAGATCATCATTTTCATCCTCACAGGGAACAGATTCTTCATCAAACACATCAAAACCACTTTCCTTTAGGTCAAGCAAACGAGATGAACCGGTAAACTTCCACGGGAAAACTGGACGATCCGACTTTTCGGGTTCAGGGTGAGGTGGAATTTCACCTGTTAAATCGTAAATGAATCCTCGAAGAAATTGAATCATACGAGAGGAACGGGCAAGCTTCAATGGAGTTGAACCCGTGTAGGTGGCAATGGTAGGATCAGATCCATAGGATAAAAGGAGTCGCACAATTTCAATGTGATCACTTTCAACTGCATCATGGAATGGCCTTACTCCACCGGTTGCAGAGGAATCAATGTCTGCTCCGTGTTCAAGTAGTGCTCTAGCAATTTCCAAGTGACCTCGGGAACAACATTCATGTAAAGGTGTATAACCAGCATTATCACGAGCATTTATATCACAAGTGTTTGTTGCCAGGCAATAGCGGACAATGTGCGTGTAACCTTGCCGAGCTGCTCGGTGAAGTATTGTCTCACCTAAAGCTTTATTAACAATTATCCGTTTAATCTCAATTGGAACAGAGGTGGATGATAAAGAGGAAGATGATAAGCTACCTCCACAACTGTTTCTCATTGAACCACTTGTACTGGTGGTGCTGGCAAGTGGTGAACCATCATCAAAGGTTACTTTGTTATTTCGCTTAATAAACTCATTGTCTTTCATCTTTCCGTTTAACCTAAACATTGCTCCATTAGGATTGGGTGATTTTACTGCCGAGTTGTTGGAAACATTTGCTGATTGGTTTGATTGTTTAGCCTTTTTACGACTCTTTGCATTTCTTATCATATCTAGACCAGAACGAAAACGCCGACGACGAACACGTTGACTACTTGGTGTTGTGGGAGTAGTTGAGGTTGATTTTAAAGGTGCTATTGATTTGTTTGATGTTGATTGTTTAGCTAACGGTAATGTTTCACTTGGTGAACTTGTCTCAACTGTAACTGGTGTAACTGTTGTTGCAGGTTCAACAGTGTTTTGACCTGTTAAGCTGGTTGATTCCAAATCTTTGGTTTTCTTGATTGACGATGTTTTACCCAAAGTTAATAGTGACTTAGCTGAGCTTCCATTAACAGTTTCACCTTGAGCCGATGAAACTAATTCAATATGCATAGTTTGCTTTTTATCTACATTTCCAGACTGTTTCTCTTCTGCTTTACCATCTTTCCTGATGATAACTGATTGCTGTTGATGGTGTTTTTGTTGTTGCTTTTTAGTACAATTGAGTACTTCACCGCAACCTGCAGGTAATTTTGAGTCAACACTTTTCGATGAGATAACAACTGAAGAATCCAATTTTTTACTCTTCTCATCAGCAATGCTGCAAATTAATTTATTGTTATTTGAACTGCTACTATCACTACTGCTTATACTACATGATACATTGAATTGATTGGCAATTAATGAACTCTCTTCAGTTTTCACTTTCTTCCTAACAGGAGTCTCAATTAGATTGCTTGCACTCTGTTTTATATTTGAAGTTGTAACTGGTGTTGTTATTGTTGTTGACTTTGTGATTGGAACTGAAGTTGTGGACGAAGTTAAAAATGTCGCAGGTGTCGAACTGCCCACCTTGGAATCACATTTATCACTTAAAATTACATTTTTAGTTATAACACTATTGCCGTTTACTCCATTGGGTGTTTTCAGGTTAATGTACAGATTTGAATTTGGATTTGCATTCTTTTTCCTTCGCTCCTTCCAATAAGCAAACATTTCACTCTGATGACATGTTGTCGATGCGGTTGATGTTGGTGTCGCAGAAGATTTAGAGCATGGATAAAATGGTTCGCTTTTAGAGGACGATGTTGATTTAACCAGTGTCGTCAAAGATTTGGCTGAAGATCCATTAACTTCAGCTTGAGGAGAAGAGATTAGCTCAATGTGCATCGTTTGTTTTTTATCATTATTTCCAGATTGTTTTTCTTCCGATTTAACATCTTTTCTGATGATAACTGATTGTCGTTGCTGGTGTTGCTGTTGTTGTTGCTGCTGAATTTGTTGTGGTTGAGGTTGGTGTTGTTGATGATTTTGCTGATTTTGCTGATGTTTCTGTAGCTGCTGCTGCTGTGATTGTTGATGTTGTTGTTGTTGTTGTAATTGGTAAAGATGCTGCTTTTGTTGTTGCTTTAGCTGTTGCTTTTGGGCACAAATTACATCGCCGGAACTTGGAGTGAACTTCGTTTCAACACTTTGAGAGATAACAACTGATGCATCCGATTTTTTACATTTATCCTCGTCAGTTTTACATATAATTTTACTATTTAAATTGGAACAATTGTTGTTTAAAACACCTTTATAATCTCTTGTACAATGATTGTTGGATATTGAACAATCTTCAACTTTGACTTTCTTTTTAATCGGAGTTTCAGAGGCATTATCTCTGCTTAAACTATGATTTGATTTAATTGGTGACGACGATTTAGATAATATCGGAGATGATGTTGTACTACCCACTTTAATATCACAGTTATTATTTGTTAAAACATTTTTACTGATAACACTATTGCCAACTCCATTAGATGATTTCAAGTTAACATTTAAATTAAAATGAGGACTCCTTTCTTTACAATAATCAAACAAATCACTCTGATGGCAAGGAGATGTTGCAGAGGTTGAAGATGGCATACCAAAATGATGGAAAGGTGAAATACCACAACATGGTTCAGAGTAAAGGTGGTGAAAATGATTAACAAATGTAGGATAGTGATGGCTTAAGGGAAACAACGGAGTACTCGGTGGTCCATCTATATGGTTAGGAAAGGAGAGCGGAAAAGCTACTCGTCGAGTTAAATCGTTGAGTTGTTGTTGTTGAAGTTGAGAGTGTTGATACATTTGCTGTTGCTGTAATTGTTGTTGTAATTGTTGCTGTTGTTGGCCCGATGGCGGTGTCGATGGTGTTGCTAAAGACGACGGCGGTGGTGGTGCCCATGAATGGGCCTGATGAGGGTGGAATGGTAAAGGAAGGTGAGGGAGAAGAGGGGAAAAGTAAGACATTTGAAAAAAAGTTGATGGTATAACAAACACCAGGATTGACACAAATACATGAACGCTAAAAAGCAAAATGAGAAACCAAACACAATATTCTTGGTTACTGAGTTGGCTGAGTGTATTGAGTGTATTGAGTATCCGCCTATTGAGTGGCTTCAAAAGATACCAGCCTTGTTACACCAATTTTGCATTACATCTGCCATCTATTGAATGTGAATGCAAGCCAACTTTTCTCTTTTTCAGGGACAAAGCATCATGTGCATTGTGTATGATTTGTTTTCATGGGATGTTTCGAAATTCCAATTATGTTATTCCTTTATTCCCATTACTCGGTGAACCTTTCCTAATCAGGGTCTTTTAACTCGGGCTTCCTTGGATGGAGTGCTCTTCATGTCCTCAAGGTTTCTGGATATGTGTAACAATAAACTTCAGAAGCGCGTTAATCAACTTAACTTTGTAATCACTTGAGTCTGACATTTATCTACAAATTGAGTGATTTATAATTAAGCAATTCTCATGGAAGATTTCTTTTAACACATTGCAATCAAAGGTAAATACAATTGTTTTTAATTTCATTAATGAACAAGTGTATTTACCCATTGATAATTCTAGGTTAATCATTTACGGTGACGGAAAGTTAGGCAATTAGATAAACTCTTCCAATAGCTCTACTTGGTTTTATAATGTATCATAAATTGATTTGGATATGAGCAACTCGAAAATCTTGAAGAAAAAGTTTAGTTGATAATTTGTTGTGAGATACTTATCATTCAATTGTAGATAAAGCAGATATTTTGCAAATGTTTGCAGAATTGTTTGCAATCGAAAGATAAAGTATGAGTTGGTGTGGAAATCGGACGCAAGTCGAAAAGCCAGAAATTAATCGATGAAATGTCCATTAACGATTTGAACTGGTCATGACGTGCAGAGAGACTTTCGTTGTTTCATTAATACAGCCATTTCAAAGTAAAAACCATTTAAAAATTCGACTTGAAATGGTCCAAGAGCCAAATTGTTCTTGTTGTCTGAATGATGGGAGGAATACGTTGCGATATCGTTGTTGATTTATGATTGGTATCTGAAAATGCAATTAAAAAGATTGATTAAAAAACAATATCGATTAATCGAACATAACTAAAAGTTGTGTCAACAGATGACAGTACTGTCAGAGATGATGCATTGGATTAGTCACCAATTGGTGGCGCCACATGAGCTGCAACGTAAACGATCAACAATTATCGATGTTGAGCGGCCTTAAGACTTACTGACTTTAGTAAAGACTGATTCTTACAGAAAATCAAATCGATGTCTGTACACTAGATCTTAATGGTGGCGCTCTAAAATCTGCTTAACAACCAAGAGCCATTTTAATCACTTATCTATGTATTTTCAGACATTTTGTGCTTTGTCCGTCCAGAGAGATAAAACTTGAAGCTGTAGAGGAAACTCAAAGCCGATCTCTGCTTATCTCGGTCTTTGCTGAGTGATAAAGGTTTCCGAATGGTCCAAGTTTATCAATTGGATTAACCATTGATGCATACGGAATTTTAGTCTAGAGGATTAAAATTTGGTCGTTAAAATGTCAAGAATCGTTTTACTTAAAGCCATATGATCGGATAGATTAAAGTTTCATTTTAACTGAATTCTTGTTGAAAGATGTTCATATTTTTTTCATTAAGTTTATCTGTTTGCTTTCCTAATGGGTCTCGTGATCTGTTCAATTTAGTTTTCCATATTAACTGATTAATAAAGTTGATTCCAAATTAGCGCTTTGTGTTCTGAGAAACTAATTAATTACAATCTTCCGTTTATTTAAAGATGATAACAATACAATTAAATTATTGATTGTAATTGCAATATTATTAAAAACGAACAATACATTTCTTAAGAAGCGTTATTATCAATAACTCATCAATATCCGAAACAAGTTAATGGGATTCGTTTGCGTCTTACGGTTGTAAGAAAAAAAGTATTTCTATTGTAAATATGTAATAATGGAATCTGCGGTTCTACCTTTACTATAATAAAGGCGAACTTGAGTTATTTTCGTTTCTTAAGAGCATATATCTTAATAGGAAACTCGGGTGTGATCAGTTTAAAGAGCAACGGAAGTTTATGGAAGAGAAAATAGGTGGACACCATTTCCGTTCAAAGGAAATGTTAAATTTTTCTTAACATTCTAAGACTCCATAAACTTGCGACCTTCGCCTTTCTCTTCTTGTTAATATGTCAACAATCAGAAGCAGGAAAAACAAAATCAAACCTCTTTATTTTCCCATTGTTCCGTTTTGGTGACTTTCTTGTCTCTTGCAAGCTTAATCAACAGAGAGTAACAGCGTCAAGTTAAAAGTAAGCATTACCGTGATTACCTTGTCTTTCTCAGGTAACCTTTAACTTTCTCAGGATAATGAATTATTCACACAGTAAAAATCGTCAAATTATCTAAATAACTGATCCATATACACAGTATATGACTTTTAAGGGTAAACCATATTCAAAGACAAATAGTTGCTCTCATCGTCAACATCAACCTCTCAAATTTAATCTGAGAATTAGAGATTTTACCTGTCAAAAGAAAAGAAAAATTCAATTTACAATTTGTTAGACTAAAAGAAGTGGTAAAAAGGTATCTTAACTCACTTACATTGAATGTTGGTGGATAACAAGTTTAGCACTTCGTTCTGGCTTTCTCTTCTTATTTTTAATTCTTCAAGTTCCAATGACTGATAATCTGTAGACGAGATTTGAAGAAACAAAAGCATTACTATTTCTCAAAGTTAACAGTCAGCAGTAAAGGTACATTACCTAAGTATGATGAAGATTCATCGGCAAAAGCTTGAGAAATGTCAATAAACGTTGTGACATTCACCATCATCATTAAATGTTGTTAATTAATTATATTAAGTTCATGAATTTCAGTTTTACTCTCAGCCCTCATCATGGTTACTGGTTATCATTGGTAGAGTTGATCACAGTTTTGACATTTGGTTGAGTTTGAATTAAGTAAAAGGCAGCTAAAAGGTAATAATATTGGTCTTGTGTCGATGATATTGTTAAGGACAAGCTGGACAAAGCCAGATGTTGATGCATAACCCATAGCGATTCATCGTTTGACTCGTGGCAAGCGTCTGTTGAAGGTCGATTGGTTAATGTAAATGCATTCTGGTCTCTCTCCATTTCCAATTCAGCTGTTAGAGGCTGCAACACGTTGAGGATAAACCCTTGTTTTAAATTCATTAGGAGAGTTCATTTTCGTTTCGTTCCACCAATAACATGAAATTTACATTAAATTGAAACTTCTAGGCAACAATTCCAATTCGATAACTGTGAATGATATAATTATGAAAATCAAAGATTAGAAAGTTTGATCAAAACATAATAAAATTTAGAAATAAAATGATTTAGATTGACAAATTTGGTTCATTGGAAAATAATTTACTACTAATATTTGACTCATTGTTAACTCAGTTTCTTCTTTTTTATCTTTTCTCCTGAAATCGTTTCAGTTTTCTCGAATCAAATTAGCAAATAAAACTTAAGAATCTATCAAAGAATCGGAAACCAAGATCATTGAGATGCACTCAATCCAGCGAGATAGAGGATAATTGAAAATAATCGAGGAAAATGCCAATTACATTAAGACATCAAGTTGAGCAAAAACAAGAATAGCTTTCATGATCAAAGCATCAAATGATAAGGCTGTTATTAATATGAAGATTTGTTATTAAATTGTTTATAAAGACATCTGTAGTAGATTCTAGGTGGAGTCCAAGGGAAAGTGCTAAGCATTTTATAATAAACAGGATTTGCTGATTCAAAAATGGTGAATATTCACCTTTGTTCACTTTAGCTGTAAACACGAATCTGGAAGATCTGTAAACGGTAATTGCGCTAAGACAAAATATTGAAAATTAGCCAAAATCTGTCCAAATTTTTAATGACTACCATAAAATTAAATAAGACAATCCTTCAATTTCTTGACTAACTGAAAGATGGATGTTTTCAAAGATAAAGAAAATCAATTGAACCTTGAAAGCATGGGTCAGGGTAAAATGATTATATTTTGTGTAACACAATCAAATTCATTATTGAACTTGGCATCAATTGAAGGTTGATGTTATGTTTCGTCTGAACAACAAGGGATCCACAAAGCAAAGAAAGTTATTTATAAGAAAGAAATTTGAGAAGCGAGGAACCAATGGAAAGGACAACAGAAAATATCTCAAAATAGAAACATGGAGAGAGGATTTATGTGAAAATTAATCAACAGAGAGAAACAGGAATACAAAACCAAGACATACTTACGGATTATAGTTAATAATTTTCACAAGGCGTACAAATATACTGTTAATTGAGATACCAACGGATTAAGATTTGGAAATAAAACTTGAAACAAAGAAAATCAGCTCCTTACTTTGAATCCATTTGAAGGTTAAGAAGAGATTTAAGTTGAAAAATTAAGCGCTAAAAAATTGTTTCTATGAAGACAAAGCAAATCAACCAATGGCGTAACAATTGTTACTCATCGCTTTTTAGACGACACATTGTCTAGCAAAGAGTAAAGAAGAAGAGACTGCGATTGATGATATCCAGATTTGTTGCTGGATAATTGCACAAGTGGTGCTAGTAGTAAGAGACTTTCTTTTTCTCTTTGTAATTTTCAATAATTATCAATTTTGTTTAACTGATTAAATTTGTTAATTTTGATTAAAAAGAGAGAGAAAAGAAAGGATCTCTGACTACTAGCACCACTTGTGCAATTATGACACATGGTCTTAGTTTGTACCAAACCGTTCGAAGC